GGCCTGGGCGCTGTCCCTCAGCTCTTCAGCTCAAGGCTAGCGCTCTACCACTTGAGCCACAGCGCTACTTCCGGCTTTTTTTTTCTTTTTGCTTATGTGGTGCTGAGGAATCGAACCCAGGGCCTCATGCATTGCAAAGCAAGCGCTCTACCGCTGAGCCACCTTCCCAGCCCCCCAGATGGTTTCTCTAGGGAATTCTACGTCATGATTAAAAGAAATGCCATTTCTATTCATGGTCTACCAGAAAGCAAGAAGAAGAATTCTTTCCAGTAATTTGTTTTTTGGTTTTTTTTTGGTTGGTCATGGGGCTTGAACTCTGGGCCTGGGCGCTGTCCCTCAGCTATTCAGCTCAAGGCGAGCACTTTACCACCTGAGCAACAGCGCCACTTCCAGTTTTCAAGTGGGCCTGGGTGTAACAGGGTGCTGGTTTGGAATGGGGGACCAAAGAGGCACACAGAAGGAGACAGGCTTTCTCCAGGTAAAGAAAGAATGCAGATAAGATTGTCACTGTCCACGCTGTGATGGTGTGCGGTCTGTGATAGGCTGTGTGGACTGTCCCTGGGTTGGGACTAATAGGAAGTCAATGGTGGTGGCAGGGGCTGCAGCTGCCATGGAGTACTGTGAAGTGTTTGTTTAGAGCTGTGACTTTGTACATAATACTGACATCGGTGTGGCTTCCTCCTGCATATCTGTTCCCTCTGCATGGTCCCTTGTCTCCTACAGGACAGAGAACACCCCCATGATCGCTGGCCTTGGGAAGGTAAGTCCGGCAGCCTTGGTCTGCTGTCAGCGCTAGCAGGGACCTGGGCTTGGGGGCGGAAGGGTGGGGGGAGAGGTCACATTCCAGGAGTGACCAACGAGGATAAGCAAAGGATTTCCCCGATGGACCCGAGAGCTACCTTTGGGGATCCACTTAGATTTAAAGCAGAAAGGCTCCTTGTTTGTGTGCGTGTGTGCACGTGCATGTGTGTGTGTGTGTGTGTGTGCATGTGTGTGTGTGTGTGTGTGTGTGTGCGTGTGCTCCAGCCAGCCCTAGGGCTTGAACTCAGGCACTGTCCTTGAGCTTTTGTGCCTAAGACTGGCTCTCTACTACGTGAGCCGTGGCTCCACTTCCAGCTTTTTGGTGGTTACTTGGAGATCAGAGTCTCACGGACTTTCCTGCCTGGGCTGGCTTTGAACCTCAGCCCTCGTGTCTCAGCCTCTTGAGGAGCTAGGGGTACGAGTGTGAGCCGTGGTGCCTGGCCTCCTTTCTAGTGACCAGGGCGGCCGCAGGTGTGCTTGCTCCCGCGGGCCATCATGGCTGCACTTCCGGTCCTAGTGGATCTGGGATGTGGGGCCTCCATGGCCTGTGCAGCCCCTTGGGCAGCTCTTCTTCCTGGGGCACCGGGCTTCTTGGGGGCTGCAGACATTAGGTGTGTGGCAGGAAAGCGGGGCACCAGCAGCACCAGGGCTTCTCAGGGCTGCTTCCCGGCTGCACGGGCCTCTGCCCCCACACGGCTTTTCCCTCAGGCTTTGACGTGTGTGTGCCACCGGCTCTGCGTGTGGCTCCTCAGCTCCACAAGGGCTGGCACTTGGCCCTCCCTGCCTCAGTATCCCAGGATGAAAGAAAGTACGAACAAACACGTCTTGATCTAGAATATTCGAAACCTTATTCTTCTGCAGTTCTGGGGATGGGACCCGAGGCCCCACGCCTGCTGGGCAGCACGGTCCCTTGGGGCTCAGGCCCCACCCCTGACCCCGCTGTAGCTCTGTGGCCAAGGCTGCGTCCCCAGAAACTAAGCCAGATGGTGAAGCAGACCTGCAGCCCACAGGCTTCATGCCTGGGGGCTACCCCAGCTCCAGACTTCACTCACTGTGTCCTGGGGTCACACCACCCCAAGGGGTGTGCCACCTGCAAGACGAGAGTGTGGGGCAGCTCACACGTGTAACGTAACCCCTGGTCTTGCCCGCTCAGGCGTGGGCATTCCTTAGTATTCGGGCTCCCCTGGGGCTTGGGTGCTTGGTGCCATCGAGGAGGGGCTGCTGGTCACCGCTGCCCTGCAGAGGGTCGATGGTGACCGGGCAGAGCCAGTGTGCTGCCTGGGCTGCCCTGGCCCCCGGCTTTGCCTCCAGGCTCGGCTTCCAGCAGCATTCTGTCCCCATGTCCCCAGGCTGCCGAGCTGGTGACCGAGCACTGCGAGGCGTACGAGGCCCACATGAGGCATGTCCGCGATTACCTGGAGGAGAGGCTGCTGGTGAGTGCAGGGCGCCCGGCCCACGGTGGCCACGCGGGTTTGTCCTTGTGAATGAACTGGCCAGTAGAGTGCCACGTGAGGGAAGGGAGGAGCCGGGTCAGCAGTCCTCACAAGGCTGGGAGTGAGTAAGCCAGCCTTCATGGGTGAGAGGGAGCCTGCCAGAGCCGAGACACTCAGGGGTGTCTGCAGAGTCTGAGTTCAGGACAGGACTTGTCCCGTGTTGGCACTCTCAGCTATTATCGGTAGATGCTTATTGAGAGGTAAATATTTTCAGATTGAAATTGTTTCCCAGAGATGGATTGTTTAGCATTTAGTTGCTGGACCAGGTGGGGTGTCTCTGACGCTATCATGAACTGTCATTTGGTTGTGTTTTTTTTTTCAGGCAGAATTTGGTAAGAGAATCCATTTGAACAGCCGCTTTCCAGGGACAGAGCGGCTGCCCAACACCTGCAACTTTTCCATCCGGGGACCCCAGCTTCAAGGTAACGGCCTGCCCTGACCCGAGCTCTGTGGTGTGTACTTTGACTCATGAACTTGTGTCTGAGCCAGCAGCTGTCCAGAGGACAATGCTGCTTGTGTTGTGAGCTGGGCGTGTGCTGGCGTGAGCACAGCTGCACCCAGCCTGGGTGAGGCCCGGCCCCCGTGGGCTGAGGTGCGGCTGGCCGAGGCCCCCGGAGGCTCTGGTCGCTGGCAGCAGCTTTGCAGACCTGTGCTTCTCCCAGTTGCCCTGAGCATGGAGCTCTGGTTTTCCACAGCAGTCACTAACTGTTAGAAAGCGACAGAAAATCAGCCCGTTTAAATGAGCTGATCTGATTTCGTTCATCATTGTATACCCTTTCGAGAGGGGAAAGCAGAGGCAAGACCGTTTCACCAGCTGGCTAGGAATGAGGGCGGCTGCACGTCCGCAGGTGTCATGGGCTCCTGGGACGCCCACCCCGGGACGTGTGGCCCATGATTCCTCGGGTGCGCAGCTGCATCGGCCCTCCGGGTCTGTGCACATCCGCAAGTGGCTTTTGACAAAGATGCCTGGCGGTGAGACCTGTTCTCACGGGCCTGGAAGAGCAGGGCTGCCCCTCCCCTGGCCGGATGGCCTGCTGTGGAAAGTCATCTCCATCGGCCCTTCTGTGATCACTGGTGATCCGTGTTGGTTGAAACACAGCAGGTCTATGCCAGCAATCAGTGGCTTTTAGAAAGTTAGTCCCTGTGCGTGTGAGAGAGGAGGGCAGCGTCTGCATGAAGAGGGCCCTGGCCTGCGTGAAAGCAGGCTCAGATGCAAATACCATCGGGCCGTAATCTGTTAAGCGAGACATTGGGTTGATTGCATAGAGATCCCACTGTCAAGGCTGCCGGGACTAAGAAGTGTCAGCTGTTCAGCAGCCAGGCCTGGGGCCATGTTTTCCTGGGTGCCTAGCTCTGCCTAGCTGGAACTTTCTGGGTAGCTTGAGTAGGGGAAACAGGGCCGGGGAGGAGTGGGGAGGAGCAGGTGGGGAGGGAGGAGGAGGGCGGCTCAGGGTGCATGCTGTCTTTGCAGGCTGCATGGTGCTTGCCCAGTGCCAGACGCTGCTGGCCAGTGTGGGGGCTTCATGCCACTCGGACCAAGGGGACCAGTGAGTACTCTGGGCACAGCCAGCTCTCAGTGGAGGTGGTGGGGCTGGGCATCAGGGACCTGCGTATCAGGCCCACTGTGGGGTGGGTACCTGTGGCAGATGTCGACCCACGAAGGAGCAGACTCTGGGGAGAGCAGCGCTGAGATGGGCAGCCAGTGGCCGCAGAGGCCCAGAGTTGGCAGCGTTGTGAGCTGCGTGGGGCCCAGCTCCTGGAGGCAGGCCCGCAGGGCCAGGAGCCCCACATGCAGCCACCGGAGGGAGCTGCGGGTGGGGGGAAGACAGTCACCAGTGGAGTGCTGAGGGACCACTCACCATGACCCCACACAAGCGGACCCGTTTCTCAGAGGAGGAAACTGAGGCATGTGGGTGAAGGGTCTGGGGCTTGGCTGTGTAAGCGCGCGGGGTGGCGGCAGCACCTGGGAGGGACGAGGGGTCAGTGACCCCTCAGGCTCAGGCCTCCGGAGGCTTCTGTGTCCTCCTGACACGGGAGGAACAGGAATGGGGGACACGCAGCCAGGCCCACTGGGTTCACACCACCCCAACAGGAGGACTGGCCCAGAGGAGGGGTCCAAGGTGCACACGGGCCGCTGACGGTGCCCCCTGCTACCCCCCACCCCGCAGGCCGTCCCCCGTGCTGATGAGCTGTGGCATCCCCTTCGACGTGGCCAGGAACGCGCTCCGGCTCAGCGTGGGCCGAGCCACCACCACGGCCGAGGTGGACCTGGTCGTGCAGGACCTGAAGCAGGCCGTGGCCCGCCTGGAGGGCCAGGCCTAGGGCCAGCAGCTGCCCTGGCTCTGGGGGCCACTCGCCAGAGGAAGCCCCTCAGGTCCCCAGGCCGCACCTGAGCCTCTGGGCGGCTGCCCTGGGCGGCTCTCGTCTCTGGATCTTCGCTCTGCCCTGGGCGGCTCACGTCTCTGGATCTTCGCTCTGCCCTGGGCGCTGGGGCTGGGGCACCTGTGTGCTTTTTCTCCTCCTGCCACATAGACCCTGTGCCCTCACAGCCCCAGGGCACCAGTGCCCACATAGGATTCTCTTCTTGTCAATCGCTGCCAGAAGCCACTGGATATGAATCACTGGGACTCGTCCACAGCCCCTCCTGGGAGTGGGACCGGCCCGTCGGGACCCCTCTTCCTGGAAGGTGGTGGTTTACCTAGGAGACAAAATCCAGATCTTCATAATCCATTGCCATGAATTTGCTGCTGTCGTGAAATAGGAAACTCGCTTTTTGCGTGGCGCATGGGCTCTCAGGTAGAGTGCTCTCTCTGGGGCCCATCTTAACCCTTCTCCTGCCTGAGGACAGTGACGCCTCCACCCCGCGCCTCCACCCCGCCTCCCGCGGTGGTGACTGCTGCCGCTCCTGCCATCCTGCCATCGGATCTGCCATCCTCCAGACGGCGCTCCGCTCCTGCCACTCCTGCCACCGGCCCATTCCCGCTGCCTTCCAGCCCTTCCCAGCGGCTCCTTCTGCTCATTTACTTGGGATGGGACTCGACCCTCGCTGGTCTGGGCTGTGTGCATGCACAGCCCCTGGGTCATTCCTGAGAGGGAGTCAGATTCCCCTAACCTCTCCCCACTTTCGTTTTACTGCAAAAGGATAAGTGACTGGTAGTTATACAAAAATGACTGTCAGGGAATAACTTCTCACTATGCGCTTTTTAAGTAAGGTATAGGAAGTAAGTCCATGAAGGCGCCGAGGAAAACAATTGTCAGAAATTACATGAACTAATTAAAGATTTCCACACTTGCTTGGATGTCTTGGGTTTTCCCTCCAGGCTGGAGAGAGAGAGAGAGAGAGAGAAAGAGAGAGAGAGAGAGAGTGTGTGTGTGTGTGTGTGTGTGTGACACCTGAGCCTGCGTGGGGGGTGGGGGAGGGGGGCTGAGCCTAGGTGGCAGCTGCTGGTAACAATAGGCAGCAGAATAGACCCATGCTGAGCCCTAGAGAGCAGGGCTCCACAGCGCCGCCCTGCAGCCTCTGGGAGAGGCTGTGGCCGGCTGGCCCTGACTTCCCCAGCCAAGAACCATGCGGGACCTGGGAGGAGGAGGGGAGGAGAGGGATGGGGATGACGATGGGGGTGCAGATGATGCTTTGCATAGAAAAATGAACATCTCAACTAATTAAAGCTAAAAACAAATTTTAAAGAACAGCAAAGAGAACAATCTGGAAAGAGATGCCATGGCTGGCTAGAGGGGCTACGCCTGACACCCTCAGGCTCACCTTGAAGGCCCCCTGTCCAGCAACCTGGACACACCTAGTGTCCGGTGTGCGGGCAGTCAAGAGCCAGATGCAGATGTCTAGTCCCCCGGGGCCAGCAGGCCTCCCAGGGGTGATGTCCCAGGAAGCAGGAGGCCCCCTTGTGGGTGATGCCAGCTGACATTTTGACCCTAACAGAACAAGTTCTTCCAATCATACCATGGGTGGATCCATTCTTTTGTGAGAACAGAGAAGACTTCCTGTGCCCCTTGGAGCTGTGCCTACACAGGGCCGGCCATGCGGGCTCAGGAGCCTGTGCTGTCTAGATCTACGGCCCTCCAGGTGGCAGAGACCCGGCCCAGGCCAAGAATGAGAACATGGTACGGCTTGCTCTCACCTGGCTCTACAGGTGACAGAGACGCTGCCGGGAAGAGGAGTTTCCAGTTGAAGACAGCCTGGGCCGGCCAGCCTCTCATGAGCTGGCTGGTTCCTGCCGGCTCACGGTGGTCCTTTCCCAAGACTTACCCATTCCATACTCCACAGCCCAGGCACCTAGCCCCCCCAGGAGTGGCTTGGGTAGAGCCGATCCCCAGGACCTGTCCCCCACCCCCCGCCCCCGCCGCCCCGTGACTGCCTCCCATCTGCCCTGCGCACTGTTATCGGGTAACCAGAGATGGCTGCCGCGTCCACGCCTGAAACAGGAAGCCCTGTCAGCCTCTGCACAGCCTCCACCAAGAGCCAGTCCCAGAGGATGGAGGAGCGGCAGGCACTGGTGGCCTCCAGGGATGGGGACGTGGCCACCTTGGAGCGGCTGCTGGAGGCCGGTGCCCTGGGCCCGGGCATCACCGATGCCCTGGGGGCTGGCCTGGTGCACCATGCCACCCGAGCTGGCCACCTGGACTGTGTCAAGTTCCTGGTGGAGCGAGCCAAGCTGCCCAGCAACCAGCAGGCCCACAACGGGGCCACACCGGTGCACGACGCTGCCGCCACGGGCAACCTGGCTGAGCTGCGCTGGCTGGTCCGAGACGGGGGCTGCGGGCTGCAGGTGAGCAGGAACCAGGCAGCCAGGGCGGAACAAGGGAGGGCAGGCCCACGTCTGGCCCCAGCCTCGTGGCTCCAGGCTGTGCTTTCCTCAGGTACCTCTGCCTCCTCCCACCAAGGCCTGTGTGGATTCCAAGCTGTGTTGACACCATTTGGCTTGGTTTGCATGCCCACCAGGCCGAGGCTGGGGAACCGTTTTGGCTCCTCCACTTCCCTCCCTCAGCCTGAACTTGCCAGCCTTCCCGGTGCGGTCTCACCAGTGTCTCTGGTCAGAGGTGGTCCACAGGGCCTCTTTCCCAAAGGGCCCAGCAATGCAGAGGTGCAGAGGGACTCCGCACAGGAGCTGGGGCCCCCGTGGCACAGGTGGGCTGTGGGGCAGGTGAGCGTCAGTGCCCGTCCCGTCCGGTGTGCCCAGCTCCCCCGTGCACACATCCTGCGAGAGAAAGCCCCTGGGTGACATGGTCCAAAAAGAAGTGCGCTCTTAGCTGACGTAGGCAACTGTGACCTCTGTGCGTCGCCTGTGTGGTGGGAAGAGGGCGGAGGAGGCCCTGGGCCACGGCGCCGGCCTCGCTCGCGGAGCACAGGGCAGGCACGGTGGCCGGGGCCCCCAGGCCGCCACAGCACCTGCGCCTGGGCCTCCATCGGCGCCCACCTGTCCACGCACAGCGCCCTCAGGCAGCGCTCCCCAGGCGGGAGCTGCCACCTGCAGAGATGTGCCCCCTGGCCTTTCCCACTGAGGGCTGAGCAGGAGGCCACAGTGGCTTGGCTGAGTGGGAGGGGGACTGGGCCTTGGGGCGGGAGGGGCCCCAGCATGTGGATGCCTAAGACCACGGCCTGGCTGGGCCCACCTCTTCTCTGGCATGGTGCCCCGGCCCACCATGGAGAGCAGCCTCGGGCAGCTGGCGCTGGCAGCCTGCCACCAGCTCCCCGCCCTGCTGCTCTGTGCAGGACCAAGACGCATCTGGCGTGTCGCCGCTGCACCTGGCCGCGCGCTTCGGACACCCCACGGTGGTGGAGTGGCTGCTGCGGGAGGGCCACGCGGCCACGCTGGAGACACAGGAGGGGGCGCTGCCGCTGCACCACGCCGCCGTCAGCGGGGACCTGACCTGTCTGAAGCTGCTGACCGTGGCCCACAGCAGGTGAGAGCGTGGCCCTCTCCTCAGGGCCCTGGACCTGGGGAAGGTGCGCTGAGAAGGGCCAGCGAGCCCAGGTGTGTGGCTGCAGATGGCCCAGTGAGTCTGAAGCCAGAGGGTGACAAGCAGGTGGGGGGCAGGGGCTTGGTCAGCCCCTGGGCCCAAGGACACCCCAGCCGCTCACTCTGGATTCCTCCCCTCCGGGTGCCTGGGCGAGCAGGGCACAGCGGGCTGGGGCTCCGCCTCCCCCGGCAGCTCAGGGCACCTGGAGAGCAGCGGAGGGACTCCGAGACCCTGGGGACCCTGGCAAGGGTCAGCTCTGTGTCCCCACGGGGGCAAGATTATGACCCTCCAATAATCTATGTGGGGTACCTGAGCCCAGGCAAAGGAAAGGAGCCCCTTGTGCGGGCTCCAAAGCCCTGGACAGCAGCTGGAAGGAGTTGGGAAACAGTGTGTAACGCTCAGAGGTCAGGCGTGAAGTCCAGATGAGCCACCTCGGGTGGGAGGCTGCCCTCCCCACAGCTGGTCATGGGGGACGGCGGGCACACGGGGCCAGCGGCAGCCAGAGGACAGAGCGGCGGCTTGCCAGCCCAGCCCTGCTGGCATGGATGTGGGCACCAGCCCGCTGACGCTCTCCCCCTGCAGCGGCGTGAACCAGCGGACCCGCAGTGGGGCCTCCCCGCTCTACTTGGCCTGCCAGGAGGGCCACCTGCACCTGGCACAGTTCCTGGTGAAGGACTGCGGTGCCGACGTGCGCCTGCGCGCCCTGGACGGTATGAGCGCGCTGCACGCTGCCGCGGCCCGCGGCCACTACTCACTGGTAGTCTGGCTGGTAAGGACTCCCCGGGGGGGCATGCACTGGGGGTCAAAGCTCTGTGGACAGTGGGCCTGGGTGCCGCCAGGCGCTGGGTCACTCAGAACGGCTGCACTAGACCCTGACCACAGAGCCCACAGCAGTGAGGCCTCCCTGGTCTTTCCCAAGAGTCTGGTGGACACTCTCAGGCTTTGCGACCCCAGGTGCTCTGTGACCAGTGCCCCATGGCCCTGGCCACTCCAGACATGTCCTCAGAGTCCTGGACAAGTCACTCCACCTCTTCTGCAGAGGAAGCCATGAGAACTGAGAGGCCAGAGCCAGGGGGTACTTCCCCCTCCACAACGGAAGATGAGCTTGGGGTGGGAGTCACTGGGGTCCCGAGGGTCCACTGGTGATGAGCGATGGGGTGTGAGGCGGGGATAGGGGAGAGCTCAGGATGGTCAGGAGGCGACTGCACAAAGCAGGGCCCCAAGGCCGCACGTGGCAGTTATGTGGGTTGAGATTTGGGTCCGTGGCATTTTCAGCTAAAAACAATTGGGCTCCTGCTAGCCGTCCTTGTCACAGGACGCAGGGGACTGAACCACGGTGGCCCTCGGCTCCCCAGGGATGGGGCCACTTCCCTGAAGACAATCCCACTGTGCTCAGAGTCCCCAGGCTTCTCCCTGGGCGAGGCGGCCTGTGCAGACCGGCTCTCCGCTCCCCCTTTCCAGGCCACGTTCACCGACATCAGCCTCACTGCTCGGGATAACGAGGGGGCCACGGCTCTGCACTTCGCCGCCCGGGGTGGCCACACCCCCATTCTGGACCGGCTGCTGCTGCTGGGTGCCCCCATCATGAGAGACTCGTGGGGTGGGACCCCCCTCCACGACGCAGCAGAGAATGGGCAGATGGAGGTACGCCGCCTCAGGGCTGTTGGGCTGGGGGCCCTTACACCGTCAGGAGCGTGCCCCAAGCTGAGCACTTCCTCCTGAAGTGTGCTGTTGAGCCTTCAAGGCAACCCTATACAAGACGTATTACTTCTCCCCTTTCACTCATGGGTAAACTGAGGCACCGTGGGCCCGGCATGTGCTCAAGGTCAGAAGGCAGCACCAAGCGTCACACCTCCTGTGCTCGGGACGTGGCGTGGTGACTCCCCAGCCACGGGGCTGTGCTGTGAGTGGCCCAGCCACTTGGCTAGAATCCAAATCCCCGCCAACTCATGCACCTATCTTGAAAACAACCTGTGAGCCCGGCTTGGGCAGGGGTGCTGTCTGCTGTGGTAGCCTGATGCTCAGCAGGTGACAGCGATAGGCAGCTGGGGCCACTGCGCAGCCTCAGCAGGGCCGTCCCCGCCCCAGGAGCCTGGCCCCGCCCCTGCCCCCCAGTGCCTACGGGGACCCATTCACGGCCATGGTGTGGCTTCCATGGTTCCCAAAGCCCTGCAGCCGTAGCTGCCTCAGCCCAGCAGAGAGGCTGAGAGGTGATGGACACTGCCCGCAGCTCCTGGTCCAGGCCAGGCCCGTCCCGGGCACCGTGGAGGGGTGGCCTGAGGACACTGTGCTCAGCACAAACCCACAGTGGCTGCGGTTCCAGGTGCTCAAATCTCAGCGGTGTCAGGTAAAGGGATGGCACCCAAGGAGCAGTCCCAGAGCCCTGCACAGCCGCGGGCACCAGGGAGACCCTGGCTCCGCCCACATCAGCGGCTGGAGGGCCTGACCTCCCCGTCCCCTGCAGCCTCTCCACCGGGCCTCCTCTCCACATGCCACACTCCAGCTCTAGAAGGAAGTACGATCGGGTCTTGGTCATAAGTGAATTATGGGGGAGGCTTGTCCACTTTTCTATAAATCTATATTCTAAACTGCTTGAAATTAAGAATTTATATCCCTCCAGACAGGGTTGGAGGTGGGGGTGATGGCAAACCTGCCCGGGGAGGAGAAGGGGTCCAGGGGTGTGGCAAGAGGGGCTCTCGGCTCCTCCTGAAAAGGTGGCCCAGGCACAAAGTTGTCCCTCAGTAGCCAAATCTTTGCACAAGCACAACACTCCGGAGGAGCCCCTAGCTCCCAGCATGAAGATAACCGGCAACCCAGGCCCCGGGGCAGGCAGGACCTCTGCCGTCTTCAGTCCTGTCATTACCGACTCCAGAGCACACAGAAGCTCCCCACCCCCACTGGTTGAGTGAACCGAGGGCTGGGGCTACCTTAAGGCAACAAAAGTCCTGGCTTCATCCCCAACAACTAGCACTCCCCCCAAAAATAAAACCCAGTTATCTGAGGGAAATCAGAGACCTCACATTATCTGATCCATAAATATTTTAGCAAACCTCTTCCAGGGAGGCATGTACTTCTTTAAAATCACACCGCAAACCATTATCACACCTACAAAACAACCCACAATAATTCCTGAGAATTAACTAGTATCCAGTCGGACACCTGACGGCGGCCAGGCCCTCATGCGCGCGCATCTGTCAAATCTCCCTCCACTCCTCCAGGAAATGTGGGAAGATGTGCTCCCCTCCTGCTGTTTAACATAGATCCTTATTTCAAGCAGTTTAGAACAGGTTCGGGATGCTAAGAAACAGAGACTGCAGTACGCTGCCTGGGACCCCCATCCGCTCCATCTGTTCCTAACAATGACACGATGTTATAAACAAAATCCTGCCTTCCTCCAGATGGCCTGTCTTTCCTTCATGTCTGTCTGTCCAGGAGCCCAGCCAGGACACAGCACAGCGTCCAGGTCTGCTCAGGCGCCTCTTGGTGGCAACAGCTATTTCCACATTTTAAAAACAAAACTCCAGCCAGGCGTGGTGGTGCACACCTATAGCCCCAGCACTGGGGAGCTGAGGCGGGAGATCGCACTTTCCACACCAACCTGGGCCGCCTAAAGAGACCCTGTCTCAAAGAACCAAGACAAAACAAGCACACAGTTGGTGCTGCTGTAGTCTCTGAAGGCGCTGAAATGGCTTCCGTTCGTGCCTCGCTGTACTGCCTTGGGTGTAATTACCCAAGCATTGTAAGTGTCGTTCAGAGCATATAACGTTTGCCATCTCCTTGCTATGCCGTTCAGCTGGGCGAGGGACATCCATTCTGCTGTGCTCCCTTCCCGCTCTCCCGTGCCCCATTCTCCATCCCCACCCCCTGGCAACCAGGTCAACTTCCTGTCCCCCTGAATTCCAAGGCTCTGGGTACCCCAATAGGATGGAGGGCGCAGTCTTTATTCTTTCATTTAGCACAGCATCCTCAAGGCTGTGAGGTAGTCTAGGTGAGGATTTAAGAAGGAGCAATAGTTCATCGTGTGGCTACCTTCCTCTTCATCGTTCATCTCTTAGTGGGCGCCTGGTGCTTCCACCTCGTGGCTGTTGTCAGTGGTGCTGCTCTGTACCCTGATGTACATCCAAGGTAGAACGGCTGGACCTGAGCTGATCACTTTGGTGTTAAGCCAGCATTGCATGCTCAGCATAAATGCAGCTCGATCCTGGTAGCTTTTTATATGCAGTTGAGTTGCTAACATTTTGTTTAGTACTTGAACTCCATATTCATGTGTGTGCGTGTGTGCACGTACACATGTGCACACATGCACACACCAGTCCTAAGGCTTGAACTCAGGGCCTAGGTGCTGTCTCTGGGCTTTTTGCTCAAGGCTGGCATCTTCCCATTTGAGCTACAGCTCCACTTTTGGCTTCTTGCTGATTAATTGGAAATAAGAGTCTCGTGGGCTTTCTTGCTTGGGCTGGCTTTGAACTGTGATCCTCAGATCACATCCTCCTGAGTAGGATTACAGACATAAGCCACCAGTACCCAGCCTTTGTTGAGTTTTTGAGAGGGGTGTTTTCCCTGCTCATTTCTGGCCTGTTTCCATGTTCCTTGACTGCTAAACTGTGTGTCCTAGGGTTTTGTAATTCATCAGCTCAAATAGTTTCTAATGTCTGGTCGTTATTCTTCCTTGCCCTTTGGACTTACTTGAAGGTGCTTATTAATTTTTAAACATGATGGTTCAGAAATTAAGTCTGTTACTGATTTCTCTTGGATTATACTGTGGCCAGAAAATATTCTCTAATAATTCTAACCATTTGATCTCTGTCATTAGCTTCTTTGTAAGTGTGCATGTGGACGTTGTTTTGTAAATATTTAGCATGTCTGTGAAAAGACTAGAGTCTGTGGGTTGTTTTGTATGTGTCTGTCAGCTGTATTCACATTCAATCACATGTATGTGACATGTACAGATTTCTGTGTTTTATCCAGACTGCTAAGTCAGGGTGCTGATGTTTGGGGGTGACTGGGTTCCTGTGTGTCCCTGTGATGCTGCACTGTTGTATGTGTTCCACCCTAATGAAGTATTACTGCAGATCTGTATTTCTATAGACCTGTAGTACCATAAACCTGTAGTACCACAAAGTGCTGCAGACCTGTGGTTCTGTAGACCTGTGGTTCTGTAGACCTGTGGTTCTGTAGACCTGTGATACTGTAGGCCTGTGGTTCTGTAGACCTGTGGTTCTGTAGACATGTGGTTCTGTAGACCTGTGGTTCTGTAGACCGACAGTACTGCACATCTGAGGTTTTATAGACCTGTAGAGCTCTAGCCCTGAGCTTATGCACACCTGTGGTTCTGTAGACCTGTGGTTCTGTAGACCTGTGATACTGTAGACCTGTG